TCAGATAAGGAAAGCAAGGAGGACTGAGCTGAGCGCGAGGCTCGGCGGGGTTCACTTACGCGCAACACGTGTGTGTGCTCGTGTGCGTGCACGATCGGACAAAGGCTCGCGAGGATGGATCTGCTGTGCTGTGAGACGACGTCGCCCGCCGAGTGCACGGCTTACGCCGATCCGGCCCTCCTCGCGGATGACAGGATGCTGCACAATCTCCTCAGAAGTGAGGAGAGGTACGCGCCGTCCTCGTCGTACTTTGGCTGCGTGCAAAGGGATATCTCGCCCCTCATGCGGAAAGTCGTCGCCGAGTGGATGCTGGAGGTGAGTTTTATTCTCCCTCCTCCTCTTTCACTCGTACTTATCATCTCTTTCTCCTCCTCCTTATCATCATCATCATCATCACCATCACCATCACCATCATCATCATCATCATCATCATCAATATCACTCCTCGTCATTTGCTCATTGTATCTCATACTCTCTCTCTCTGGCTACATCCACTTAGCAGATAGAGGCTCTCTCTCTTCCCGCAAACTCGTGCCACGCGCGGCCACCGAAAAACTCACCGTGCGCAAGTACCGCTGCACCGTCTCTCTCTCTCGCGCGCGCGCGCGCGCGCACGATCTCTCTCTCTCTCTCTCTCTCTCTCTCTCTTTCTCTCGATATGCGATTTCCAGGCAACGAGATGTCCGCTATGGACTCTCCGCAGCTCGCGCCAATGGAAAACTCGCTAGACCAACGGACGTGGCGTCGAACGCATTTTTATAAAATTTAAATTTTAAAGCCACCCGATCGCGAGTAGCAATGGCCTTCCCGAGATCACGTGTGCTACCTTCCATCCATCATTTCGTCTCTCCTCCGTCCCACAACCAATGCGTCACCACCACCCTTATCCGGCGACTCCTCTTCTCCTCCCTTTGGCAGTCGCCGCTTTTTTCTCGTAGCACGTGCACGAAGGGGCGCGAGGTCGCTCTACTCGGACGCTTCCGCAAATGTCCAGTAGCGCGGAGGAGCCACTCGATCGAAATTCGCGAAAGGGCGTGAGGTTTCTTATCGAGTTACGTCAGAGACTACTGCTCCCGCAGCCGTCGTCGCCACGGTCGTCGTTTATTTTTAACGCTTGCGCTTGCCGCTCGATCGCCCCTTCCTTTTTCTTCTTTCGTTGCAAGGAAAAAACATAGAGCGCGCGGGAGCGAACCGGCGTGCGGCGGGGGAAGGGGGTGGCGCGCAGAAGGGCGCAAAAAAAAAAAAAAAAAAAAAAATAAAACGAGCCACGAAGCAACGGGGCAATGAAAAAAACTAATTCAATTCTACCACCTCCGCGCGGCGGACATTTAAATTTCGACATCGCGGCTCTCGGGGCTTTTAAACTTTAAAACCGCTGAATACCCAATATAACGTTTGATCGTGTCGTTGTCATCGTCGCCGTTGACGTCGACGTTGTTGTACTCGCTCCCACCGTCATCATCCTTCGGCCCGACCTTTAACAGCTCCGCGCGACTCACGTCTGTGTAACGTCGTATAAAAATCCGCACCTTGAGCATTTGTTTTGTGTCTACGGCGCCCTCTCCCCTTCTACCAATTACCCCCTCTGCCATCACCATAATCGCCGCCGACGCCACTAACTCCCTCCCACCCACCCACCCACCC